GAGACGTGATGCTGGAATAAACTACCTGCATGATCACGTGACCTGAACATGTCGAGTGACCGTTACACTGATGAGTCAGTGTGTGTGTGGATCATTGCTTCAGAGCTGCGTCTACACACACTGACACAGTTCACCTTACATAACTGATCTGCAGTCAGCTGGAGGAGGAGAGATGCTCCGCCTCCTGTGACCTCACACAGGTAGAGTCCAGGAAGGAGAACAGGTGAAAGGAATAAACCCACGAACCAGCAGACAGCTACACACAGACCAGGAATTTCAAAATAAAACAGGAAACAGTCACGCTCTCTGGTTACAGTCCAGTCATGCTTAAAGTTCCAGAGTGAGAATTAAAACAAAGACTTGATCCCAGCATCAGTCTGACAGTTTGTAGACGAGGTTTGAACTTCCTGTTCCAGACTCTCTGCAGGCTTTGTTAGTTTGACAAAAAATGGCGGCTGACGACTGCCGATTGCTGATTGGACGGCAGGAAGTCTGAAGGAAGCGGCTAAAAATGCTGAAAAGTTTAAATGGAGCTCTGGAGCGATCGGAGGCGGAGGGTTTTGGCAACAAGCTTTCTGGTTGTCACATATGTGGTTTCCATGGCAACTGCACACCTACAGCTTCAAGGGAGCCTGGGCTGGTTGCCACTGACAACCCTTCCCACACTGAAATCTGTCAGTGAGAAACAACAGAAAGCACTGCGGCAGGAGGAAGAGGAGGAGGAGGATGGTTGTCCTGTCTCTGTCAGAGGTTCATCAAACCAAAATCATTAAAAAAGGTGAAAATTTGAAACGTTTTGAGCACGAGGAGAGGATCCTGCTCACAGAGTGAGCGTTACATCATGTTTGAAACACCAGAATCAAACCTTTAACCGTAACACGAAGAAGTCCCACAGCCTCTCTGAGAGCAGGCGCGTCGTTAAAGGTACGATGAAGGTCAGAAACATGACACATGTTCTCAGTAATAATGCTTCTTTGAGTCCCGTGGAGATGTTGCAGCTCTAAACGTGCTGACATGACAGCGGCTGCAGCCAGTCGACCTGAGGTCGTTTGTAATGAGCAGGTCGTTGGACGTGCTAATGCTAAACGGCTGCGTCTGAACGCTCTGCTCCACACTGAGCTTCAGTCCTCAAGTTTCTTTAACTAGTTTTTATTGTATTTGCTGCAGTTAGTTTACTAACAGGGCAAACACCCTGGACCTTCAGGTAGACACATGTCAGGTACAGAGGGTAGAAATGTAACCTCAGTCTGATGCTAACAGAGGCAAGCAGGTCAAACACCAGGAAATAACTTTTAAAATCAAGGACGATACAAGCTGAGCTCACACAGGAAGACAAGCTTCCACACAGATTACGGTGAACAGTGTGATGAATGTGTATGAAGCCACATCAGGACTTTTGTCTCATGATGGAGGAGAAAATGCTGCCAGGACACTTTTACTGAGAGAACAAACAGCTGAAAGTGTCCTGAGAGCAGACGGTGCCGTGCAGACTGAAACAATCTGTTTTTGTTAAGCTCCTGTTTATAATCTGATTTGGTGCTTTCAGAGCACGTCCAACACGCACACACAGATTCATTTCCTGGAGATTAACTCACACTACTACTGGGACGACCCTAACCTTAAAAAGCATTTCCCTTTTGTCCCCGTCAGAAAGACGTGTCTCTAAACACACTGAGGACCCCACAACGCCAGCAAAACCTGGCTACACACACACAGTTTGAGCTTGTTACATAACTGTGGCTTCACACACACACACACACACACACACACACACACAGTGGGAGCATCTCCCCACTGGACCAGTCACAGGAGGTCCTGAGCTCACTGGCGCCCCCTGTCATGTGCTATGACAAGGAAACTAATTCATTCTTACTGGAAACTGTGGTGATTACAGTGGTTATTTCCTGCCCACGAGCCAGTTAATCAGGTTTACAGAGTTAGCTCAGCTGTCACCTGACACAGAGATAGATGGTCGCTGTCAGCGCACGGCGAACATCAGCCTCGGAGCTCTGACATACACCAGACTCCTCCGATAAACAGAACAAGCTGCTGTCTCAGTCGGGAAGTTTGATGAATTTGGTGTTTTAACCTGTTACTCGCCCAAGTCCCACTGCACAGTGTTGCTCTGTCAGTCAGCTGTGACACACGTGAAAGCAGTAAACATATTCAGACAGACTCAGGTCTGGTCCTCCTGTATGACGCTGTCAGGACGGACAGCTGAGCACATCGCCGTCATGTTAGCAACATTTTTCAGGTCCACTCACTCAATAAGTGGAGTCCAAGCAGAAGCTGATAGAGCAGATATCTAACAGAGCCCTGAGGTCAAAAACCAAGCAGGATGCTTTGATCACATCATCTTTATTAAAACGCGATTAAAGAGCAGAGGGACTGATGGCTCCTCTCTGCTGCTCTGCCTTTTAATCTCATTTCTTCTGCTGCTGTTTTGCTCAGCATCTCTTTGTAAAGCTGATTATCTGCCGTCACACGTGGCGTCTCCCCCTAAGTTCAGACCTGAACGCTGCAGGTTTCATCAGAGAGAAGATGGAGACAGATCTTCATCACCTGATTGAACCAGAGGATCGGTAACAAATACTGAGGTGTACCTGGACTAGACTTGAATCCTCTAACAGCAGCAGTGGTTGGTGGAGTTGCCTCACAGTGAGGTTTGTTCTTCTTGTTCCTGTTTCTCTCCGGCTTCCTCCCACAGTGGATGGATGATGCTTTAGCCCAGTTTCCCACTGTCACTGCCGTTCCAGCTCACCTTTGTCGGCTGGAGCGTTCGTGCAGTTTCCTGTGTTTGTGTTTCTTTTCCCAGCTCGTGTCACTCGGACGAAATCAGGAGCTAACCTTTGTCTGACTTGTTTTTCCGTCTCTGTCCCTCTCAGACCAACAAGGCAGTGTCCAAAGGAGACTTTCACCTGGCCAGCTCCAGCTCCAGGCGGGCTCTCTTCCTCGCCGTCCTGTCAATTACCATCGGGACAGGTATCTATGTGGGCGTGGCCGTGGCGCTCATCGCCTACCTCTCCAAGAATCACCACTGGTAGCCCAAGACCACGGAGCGAACCCTCACCTTCCCCTGGAGTTCAGCTCCCCAGTGAGTGTTTCAGCATGTTGGCCGTCATCTCGAACTGGAGGACTTCCTGTGAGCGCACGATGGCGTCGGACACGCCGCTGTGCTGTTCTGAAGAGCCAATCGGATCCAAGGAGAGGAGATGTGTGAGAACAAAGAACCAGCAGCATTTTTAAAGCTTCTGCTGGCGTTGCAGTTTGTTTAAAAGAACATTTTTGGTGTGATTACTCTCATTTCCATCACTTTAACTGCACCTGCATGAAAAGTTCCTCATTACTGTTGCAGGACGTGAATCAAAAAGCTCGAATGAACCCTGGAGGTGATGCTAACGTTCAGGGTGTCACAGTTTCTCTCACAGCAAGTTTTTAATGTCAGATGTTCAGCCTGAATAAAAGGAGGAGTTTATAGGAACACCATCAGCAGCACTAATAAGTTAAATATTTATATCCTGCTCTGTGGCAGGAAACCATCAGCTCACCTGGTTCAGCTCTGGACTTCACCTGTTGGCCTCCATGTAACACCTGTGAGACCTTTTTGGATTTCATTCTTCTTTTGTAAATTTGCTCTCTTCACACTTAAAGACATAAAAGGCTAAATGGGACCAAACTGTAACAGGATCTACAGAGATGATAAACACAAGAGTGTGAAGGGAGAGATCACCACACACCTGTGCTCAGGTGGACTCGGCTGCTTCCTGTTTGCATATCAGGACAAAGACTTTTTATTCATTTATTTATATTTTTGGACAAACTGCTGAACTCTGTCAGCTGATCCGATGACCTCATCGTGTCCTTTTGGCTTTAAACCAACACAGAAACACCAACAACCCACCGGCTGGGACGCCGTGTCCGAGGGTAGAGACACATTATCACCTGTCATGGTCTCTGCAGGTTCAGCATCCGGAGGTCAGGCTGGGCCTTCAGTTAACATCTGTGTTCAGTTTGGTTATGAAATGTGGACAAATTCATTTATGATTCTTTCTTATTGTCTGTTTGTTTTCATGCACACTGATTCTTCTCTTTGAAAGTCTACAGACTTCTGGTCCAGAATCAGGACGTCTCAGTGAATATTCAGCAGAAAACCTTAAAAGGAAGTGTTGTAATCATGGTCCTAATGCAGGACCCTGATTGGTGGATGTGTAAGACAGGTACTCGGGTCCTCGTCTACAGGTGAGCACTGGGCAACGACGTGTCATAGCCATGTGTGGACATTCAGAAAATGTTTTGTAAGAGTATCGGTGCGGGAACGTTGTGGGGGGTTTGTCCGGGTGTTTCTGATGTTCAAGTCCAAATAAGTTTGTCTGGATGTCCAACTGCAGATTTCTGTCTAGAACTTTTATTCTTTTGTTCATCCACAGATCTGATTGTGATTTTTGGGCTGGCCTCTCTGCTACACCCTTGGTACTGCAGGTTTGATGGTGGACTTTAAACGAAAAACAAAAATCCTTTGAGTGATATGGGAACACATGAGTCTTTAGACGTCCACTGATGTCCACTGATGTGTGAACGTACTGTGGATTCTACATCTGTGTCAAACTTCAGAGGTTTTAAAACATCAAGTTTCATTTTGAGGGCATCGATCCGGGATTGTTATTGAGAGTCTTTAAGTCTCAGTCTCCGTGGTGCAGACCACCTTTATCTTTCGGTAAACAAAACCTTGCGTCTTTCTCTTTGGTCCTGATCTTTGTTGGACACAATGTCCGTTCACAATCTTTGCTGAAGGCCGTCAGAAATCCAAGAGTCTCAAAACTGATGTTGAATCTCCACCAACATCTGAAACCAGTCTGGTGTTTGCATGTCTGCACACTCCTTTTTAGGAAGTCCACCCAGGTCCATCCAGGTCCCTTACTGAAGGCTGTACATGTCCAAAACAAACTGAGCTCATGGTGATCCTTCATAGAGAAACTGTTAAACCAGGGGTGGCAACTCCAGACCTCGAGGGCCGGTGTCCTGCAGGTTTCAGAGGTGTCCTTGATCCAACACAGCTGATTCAAACGGCTGAATGACCTCCTCAACATTTCTTGTAGTTCGCCAGAGGCTGGCAATGACCTAATCATTTGATTCAGGTGCGATATCTAAAACCTGCAGGACACCGGCTCTTGAAGCCTGGAGTTGCCCACCCCTGTGTTAAACACACATATCAGCTATACAGGCTTTGTGAAGGTCACAAACTCAAAGTCCATCCAGCACTCGTGTTGAACTGTGAAACCGACTGTGTCCATGATGAGTCATTATTTCCCAGCACAAACCTTCAGAGCTGCAGTGAAACCAAACAGAAGAACACCTACACATGTTCCTGAAACTCTGATAACAATCGCTGCTGTCAGACCCTGAAGAATTATCTGTTAATGACTCCGCCCACCCAGGAGGACCATCTACCACACCTGATTCACTGCTAAGCTAACCTTCAAGCTAATCGGGCTCTGACTTCAGACCATCGGATAGAGTCTGCAAATCCTGAGTGGATACTAAAGCCTGTTTTTAATGATAGTAAAGTCAGACTGAAACAGTCGTTGGCTGTTATGGATTTCTAAAATTAACGGGATGAGTCTCGTGCATTTCTTCACTGAAATCAAGCAGAATGACCCTTTAATCAGAGGTTCACTTCAGGTTTAAGCTGCAGGTGTGGCTCTGCAGGTGTTCAGATGGGTGCTTTTGTTTGGCGTGTAGGCGTACAGTGGCCGTGCAGCCACTGGGTAACGTAGCGGGATCGTTATGATTGTTAAAAAGCTGCGGTGCGCTTTACCAGCCTGGACTGGAAACAGGAAATGGTCATCCTTGGCAGCTTCAAAGTCTGGGCTAAAGGGCTGCAACCCTCATCACTCATGCTGTCCGCACACGCTCACTGAATGTGTTTGACTTTAGCATCTGCTGAATGTTTCAGATTGAACTCTTAATAAACGTCAGAACTAAAGGAGCTTTTCATCAAACCTCCTGTTTGCTGTCTGTCAGTTGTTTGACTCTTAGCCTAACATGCTAAGCTACATGAGCTTATAACTTCCTGCCCAGCTACAAATCAAACAGCTGCTCTGGTTAGCTGCTTTTAAGACTTCCTGGACTTTAAGTGGTCGCTAATAAAAATGTAAATGTTTGTGTCTGAGGTACTTTCATTGGGTTGTTTGCAGACAGTTCAGCCTCACACACGTCTCCACCTGAGATGTTCCTGCTGCAATCTTTCCAACCACAACAATCCTCTCAGGAACAATTCTGGAGAGAAAAACACACAGACTGGATTAGATGGTAAATTCACACAAGCACTTTTCTATACTTCAGTGGTTTCAAACATTCACACTCAGGTGCATGCACTGAGAGCAACTCAAGGTTCAGCATCCTGCCCAAGGACAGGTTGGCATGCAGAGTGAAGCAACCAGCAATCAAGCCAACAAGTATCCGATTAGTCTTGAGTTATACTTGGGAATATTTCTTAGGAACACCTACACAGGTAAATAAATATCAGCAAATATATTTCTAAAGATGCACCGGTCAGTAACAATCCAAATCAACGGGTCGGTGCTGTTTCTCCGGTCACGTGGACTTTGATGGAGCTGTAACCTGCACGGGTGGACGGCGCGCTGAGCTGCTCACAGTCGCCGCTTCTGGAAGTGTTCCTGAGCGTGCGCTGATTTATCAGTCGTGTTTTTCATGCAGCGCCACTGCAGTCATCAGCCTCGTCCCTGCACTCATTCCTCCAGGTTGTCTCACTATGCTGATGATACTCAGTCTTCTCCCAGCACGACATCCCAGTGTACTTCAGACTCAGATGCACACACACACGCACACACTCAGACACACACTCAGACACACACACTCAGACACACACAGAGACTCAGACGCACACTTCATAAACACACAACATAGAAGAGCCACCTCGAGGGGTCGAGACTCAGCTGTTCATCTGCATCTAAAGGTCAAAGGTCACTCTTTGAGGACGCCAATGTTTACATGTTGGACAGAGAAGACAGACGGAGTGAAGGAAGCATCTATGTCCACTGTGAACGACCATCTTTGGACAGAGGGCGGGGCTTAGCACACCAGCTGTCTGCCATCTGTAATCCAGTCTGAGATCCTTCCCAGACGCCTTAACGCCCACTCACATCCTGCATCAGGTGACCTCGATAGGTCACATGATAGTGTGGGCAGGGTCTCACATAATGACCCGTGCCTTTTTTCACACCTTGGCTCATTTGATGAGTCACATGATCAGCAGTGGGTCAGCGACCCTCTCAGGGACACGCCCACTAGGGCTTAAATACCTGGGACCCTCCACCGTTTGGTGTTACAGCTGAAGAAGTTACTTCTTAAAGAAGAAGAAACTTAAAGAGCTCCAGCTTACCTTTCCAAGAGTACCGATTACAGATGCAGCTTCTTCAGACTGCTGGACCGCTGCCTCTCCAACGTGCTCTTTTTACTTATCATGTGACTGACCTGCTTCCAAATAACCTGAGTGGTAGACAAATCTTCCTCCACCTGTTTTGTTTTAGCACCACCTCCATTTCCACTCATCCTTCCCAACTTTGTGAGACATGCCTCTGCCATCGAAGTCAAACTGAGGTCTCATTGTCTCCCACATTTATTATGAGTTAAATATGAGTTTGATATGTGCAGATCATTGTATTCTGTTTAAATGCACACAGTGCTTTTAGGAACTGGGTTGTACACGAGCAGCTTACGGTGCATGGCTGAACGGTTCAGATCCACTTTACTGAGTTTAAAGACATATTCATCCTCACACTAAATGAACAATGCAGCAATGAATGTGCCGTGAATTGCAGAGTTTAGGACCCAAATACAAACACATGCTGATGGATAAACTACAGTTCAGTTTTATTTATAGAGCACAAAATAACAAAAGCTGCCTCCAGGTACTTATAGTATAAGATAAAACCATCAGATGCTAACGCTGAGAAGTGACCACAGCAGGAATAACAGACGCAAAACTAAAGACAGTGGAGACAACTATCAGAATAAAACAGGAAGTGAGGACCAGGACTAGTTGAGCAAACAGATGAATGAACTTTAGGATAAGACAGCAGCCACAGAGGGAAGAAACTAAAACACAACCAGAGCTACACACTCAAGGAAAGAACGATTAAAGAGTTCGTTTGAATGAGCTGCAGGACGTCATGTAACAGGCATGATCACGTCTGCAACACAGAGGAAGACTACAGGGCGGACCAACAGGATGATCGGCAGAAGAACACTTAAAATCATCCTTTGATTTTTCTGAAAGTCGACAGAGCCCCTTATAATCCCGTGTGCCTTATGTATGAACTCTGGTTGTGTTTACTGACCTCGAAAC